CGATGAGGCAGCAGTGGTTCCGTTAGAAGATATTCAGGTGGATGCGAGTCTGAATTACGCCGAGAGACCAGTAGCTATCAGGGATCGGAAGATCAAGGTTCTACGGAACAAGGAGATACCTCTGGTGTTGGTTCAGTGGCAACATCGGAAGGGATCGGAGATGACTGGGAGCCGGAAAGAGAAATGCGGGAGCAACATCCGGAGTTATTCGCAGAATGAGACTTCGAGGGCGAAGTCTAGTTCTAGTGGGGGAGAGTTGTAACAGCCCGGAATTTCAGGTATTTCTTTAAATTATTTTTGGGGCACATTTAGGAGGGGACTCGGCGAGTTGGTGCATGACTCGCCGAGTAGGGCCATGGTCTTGGTCGCAGATACGCGACTGGACTCGACGAGTCCAATAGGGACTCGGCGAGTCGACGCTGTTCAGCTGAACCCTAGCCGTTTCGATTCTGAATCGTATATAATGATCTTATGGCCGTCATGTCGCGTCTTTTGGCCGATTGAAGATACCTTGGGAGTTTGTGGGCATCTGGAGCAAGAGTGAGGGCTAGAGGAAGCTTGAAGAGATTGTTAGACAAGGAGAGGCAAGGTGGTGATCAAAGGAAGTCCAAGGAGTCGAGTACTGGAGGTTGGGGACACAGGGAACACGTTTCCAGGTAATCTTCGGATCATAATCTGTAGCTTTTACGTTGTATGCGAATTTAGGGTTTAGGAAACCCATTTAAGGAATTGTTAGATTATAGTGTTGTTACAAGTGTTTAAAAACCCCTGTAATAGTATATGTGAAAGTCCAGGAAGCCCCATATCTATATACTTCGAAATCATGCGAAATACAGGAGGCAGCGGATTGACTGCATGGCGAGGACTCGCCGAGTTGTTCTTCAGACTCGGCGAGTAGCTTGAAGATTCACTAGGACTCGCCGAGTTGTTCTTCAGACTCGGCGAGTAGCTTGAAGATCTACTAGAACTCGTCGAGTCGTTCTTTAGACTCGGCGAGTGGAGTCGGGTGTCTATACTCGCCGAGTTGCCCTTTGCACTCGACGAGTCCGGTCAAGATTGACCGTTGACCTGTATGTAACTTAGTAGGGTCAGTTGTCTTGTTTGATAAGATCATTAATAAAGGTATGTGGTATTATAGGGAACCTGCGGATTAGCGGATCGAGTGCGAGTAGCTCGAAGGGTTTATAGCTTGCATACTACGAGGTGAGTCTTCTCACTATACTTCACCCGGAAGGGTTTGACTGCGAGACCGGAAGGTCGTATGTGTTATATTTATGCTATGTCTAGAGAGGTAGATGCTTTATATGTGATGTATGCTTATATGTGATGTATGCTTATACGGGCCGGAAGGCGAGACTTTATGTGATAGAAAGAACGGTATGATGTATGACTTATGTGTTATGTGCGTTATGTTACATGTGTTATGTTTTATACTATTATGGGCCGGAAGGCAAAATACTATGGGCCGGAAGGCAATTTAATACGGGCCGGAAGGCGATATGTTATGGGCCGGAAGGCGATTATGTTACGGGCCGGAAGGCAATGTTATGTGGACCGAAAGGTCCGGGCCGGAAGGCGTATGTGGGTAAGTCGTATACTGGGGAACTCACTAAGCATTTATGCTTACTAGTTGTGTTTATGTTTTTCAGGTACTAGTGATGACCGTGGAAAGGCGCCGGCGTGACACGTACACACTGCCATTGTTGAAGATCTTGGAGATTTATTATTTATACTTTTGCAATAAACTTGGAATAAACTCTTTTGTCGAATAATGATGTTTTGTTTTAAATGAAAAATTTATTTGAAAATTTGAGCTGTTACACATACGTAAATGCTCGGCCGGGCTAGGGCTAATTTGATTTGTTCAATTAGCCTGTCATCATAAATCGGAAATCGAGAAGTAGTACAAAGAGAATGATTTGAAATCATATCTCATACGATATCTAGAATGGAGGAATATATGATCCCTTATCTAAGGACACGCGTATCTGATAGGATCAGAGTTGACAGCGGCTTTGGAAAGCTACGATTGCAGATCAGGATCTGAAGTCATACGCAGAATAGTTGTTAGACTTATCCAAGTGGGAGACTGTTGGATTAGTGTCTAAGTCCATAACTATTTTGGTATGTACTTGACCCGATGGTGCATGGTCCTTTTGGGTTGCCTTCACCAAAGCAACTTGATAGGATGAATTATGGAGAGAAAGGATTAAATATGATTTATTAATATATTATGGGAATAATATATTAAAGGAGAAAGCATATTGTTTAATTAATATTAGTCAATAATTAATTGGTAATTATTTTTGTGACTAAAAGAGATTAATTAAACTTAAGGGACCGGAATTGTAATTATAAGATAATTGCAATTTGGGCCATAGATTGCCTTGTATCAAGGGTTGGACGAATTCTATGGGGAAGCCCATAAGGAAATCGTCCAAGGGCTTGATAAAAGGAGTCTATGGGTTGCTTAGGGCTTAAGCATCCAAATTAGGGTTTCCTTGTTAGATAACCCTAATAGCCCAACTATATAAAGACCCCTTAAGGCTCAAAAACGTGGCTAATGTTCTTGTAAGGGTTTACACACGTTTTTGGCAGCCTCCATCCTCTCTCCTCTTCATCCTCTTGCTTATGGTGTTTGTGAACCATTAGAGGAGTGACACTTGTGACTCTAAGCCTTCCAAAGTCATTACAAGGAGATTTGGGATTGTTATTGCTACATAACAATCAAGGTAACACTATAAACTTATTCTTATGTTAATATGATTATATGTATGCTAGAATTAGGGTTTATAGTCTTGGATTCAAAGCATGTACAATAGAGAAACCTAGATCCAAGCATTAGGGTTTGTATGAGAACATAGGATGTCTTATGACTAAAACCCATCATCAAGGTCATAATCTCCATTGCTATTACTAAAGCTTGATGAGTGAGGCTCTCTGGACCTCTATGGATCCAGATCCAAAGCCTCAACATTAGAAAGGGACTATTTGGCATCAAATCAACCCAACAAAGGCCACAAGAAACCCTAAATCCAAATATACTTCATAAAACAGAAGATGAGCTGAAATAATACCTCAAGTTCGAAGATTTGAGCTTCAAATCCATAGTATAGCAATCTCCTATGCTTCCTCTTGGTTATGACCTCCTTCTCCTTGCTAAATAACACCACAAAGGTCAAGAATGACTTCTTTTCTCTCTCAAAACGCTCAAGCACTCTAGGGTTTTCTCTCTATGGATTGGTGAGCACAAATGACGGCCATAAGGCCCTTTATATAGGTCTCAAACCCCGGGAATTAGGGTTTCATCACACAATGTGGACTCGCCGAGTCCACCCTGGACTCGCCGAGTCCGGACGCGAACCCGTGCTCAATACCTCGATCCTACTCGGTGAGTTTGAGCTCCAACTCGCCGAGTCCACTCACAATTTCTAAAAAAAATAAGCCAATAATAAATACCTGGAAATTCCGGGCTGTTACAATTACAGGGGTAATGATACTTCTCTTCAAAAACAATGGATGTTTTATAAAAAAAAACTACGATAATACATTTGGATACCATGATTAAAAATAACATTGTTGATAATTTCAAATCATTATGATCAATGATTTCTAAAAATAAGAATATGTAACTACTAACAACATCAGATAAAAAAAAGATACATCAAAAGTGATGTTCATTAACCTTGAAATAACAATAACATTAATCAGTTGAATCTTCAGAGTACATATAAAACACATACTTAATACACACATCAACACATAATACACATAATTGAATCATATATTATTTTTCAAAATAGAGAAAACATCATAATAGGTAAAAAGCATTCACTGAATGTCTACAAACCTTGCACATGATTGCCTAGAGTAAATCTTTCACTGAATCGATAGGTAAAAAGATAGAACCAAATCGTATAAATACATAAATTGATCGTTAATTACTAACCTTATGTACTTATTCAAGCCTTTTATCAATATTTGTTATGAGAACATAATAAAATCAAGAATGATGGAGGTATATATGGACCATCGAATTTAAATTTGAAATTGATCATGAATTCCTAATTTCTTGCTAATGGAATCGAATTCAAATTATGTTGTTGATTTTTTGGAATATATACAATCGGTAATTGAGGAATTTATTCCTGATTTCTTGCTAATCATCATATTTGATATATTTGATTTTGGGAATGAGTTACATAAAGATCTCTCATGTTCCTTCGAATAGGTATTAATCTCAACTTCAATGCTTCAAATCATTCAAAGTAAAACATAAGAAACATTAAGAAATGCTTAAAATTACCGTAATGAAGTAGTAACCTTGAAAAATCGATAGAGCCCAACAACAAAATACACTTCAAATACAAGCTTTGATGCAAATTATAGGCTTCGATGGAGATCGATTAAAGACTAGCTTAGGATTCGATTTGGGAGATAATCTTGTTGGTAATTTCTTTTGCGAATTGGAGAAAATCGTTGTTGATTTTGTGCGATCAAGTTATCGTCATCAAGCTGTGACAATGGAATCCTATTCAACGTGGATTGTGGGTTGGTTTTGCAAGAGAGGGGATGTGAGCGAGAGGAAGTGTTTTTGTTTTGCTAATTTCTAGGGTTTGATAAGGGGATGCAACGTTATTTATGGAAGATGATTGTTATAGGATCTCAAAATTGAAATTAACAATCAACTTTTTAATTCATGTTATCTTATTAGAAAGAGAAGACGACATCAAAGTGAAATGAGCAGGAAAAAAAAAAGTTAAGATGCCAGAATGATATTTTCGATCTCAAGGACAAAGTCGGAAATTCACATTGTATTTTTGAGTAGGAAAATTAAATAGGAGGGTGTTCTGCCATGTGGCACTTTAGTATTTTAGTACTTATTTATTAGATGAGGGATTTAATTGGTTCATTTCCTTCTAAAGTGATTTAAATTTCAAAATATTTCACTTTTGCACGTAGCATGAATTTAATCATTTCAAGAAATTTTCAGACTTAAAAGCTCGATGGGCTTTTTTCTTTAAAAACCACAAATATGGGCTCAATATTCCACTGGGTTGTGCCCCATAAAATAATTGTTTTGTAAATTCACAATTTCACATAATCATATTCACATTGAACTTGAAGTAAACGAAAGTAGTAAACCAACACAATACACATTTACACAAAGCCTTATTGAGTTCTTGTGCATACACCAAATGCATACTAGTTATTCATTACCTTTACACAACCATCATAGTGCTATCCATCAATGATCATTGATCTCTGTGTTTCACTCTGGCTGGATATAGTCCCCGTGATAAATTTGCTGCACAAACACAAAAATGCACCACTAGTTTAAGATCTACGACTCATTAATCACTACATAAGAATAGATGATAATAAACATACTAAATCTGTTCATCTATGTTATATTAAATATATCTTGCATTGAGCGAACTACAATGTATAATGCTTATGGGCCTATCAATATGTTTGATACTTGATAGTTTATTTTGGAGTACACACGTTTCTAAAAGTTTGTTCCCTATTTTATATCACGGGTTTGGTCCAAAGAAGAAGTCTTCTTGCAAATTTTCCTTGTGGTTTCATTTTGTTGCTGATACCATTGGATGTGTTACTTTTTATTGGCGTTGGAAGTTTTTTACCGATTTCATTTATTCCACTAGAGTTTCTCCTCTTACTACAGGGCGCTTACCTAGCCAACGCCATGCATAAACTAAACCAACTATCTTTGGGATCTGATCCTACACTGCTGCTCAATACCTTAGTGGATCGACTTAATACTCTATCCGAAAGTTATCCGTATTTTTTTTTGGATATGGTCTACAATGACCATTTTGCCCCGAAAAACACGGTGGTTGCTTTTGGGGGAGATTTTAAGGAGAGGGAGGTTAAAATAATATGAATACTAATCAAATTTATCATTCGAACAAAATTTATGGTTACCTGTGTGTGTCTTTCTTCTCTGAAACTAAGATTCCGAACCTTGAGCTCCCCTCTATTTGTAGTCATTTGATCAAGTATTTCAGCATCACATATGGCCACGTCACCTTCAATGCTCCCACCATGATCACTAACCGATTCCTACATGTATTTTGTTCATTGAGTAAGCAAGGATTAGAAAATAACAACTTCAGTTATAATTATGTCATGGGTTGAGAAAAAGTTACCCTGAGATTGAAACTAGGAGCTCTTGGTGGACTACCAAGGATTTCCTCATATTCAGCTGCATCAAGTTCCTTTAAATAATGAAGTTGGAATAGTTTTGGTAGAATGTGTTGGCGTATGCTGATGAGAAGGAAGAAATGAACCGGGAACAAAATGCCAGCTATAGGAATCCATGTCACACCGTAGCACACAAGGAAATACACAATTTGGAAGACTGTGAATACTACTATGCTTCTAAATGGGACTGACTCGATGAAAGAAGCATGGACCTTCTCTAGAACCCTGTCATATAAATATATATATGTACTTTATTTATACCATATAATATAAATATACAAATATAAAAAGAAATTTTAAAACTGGAGCATCCATAAAACGATAGCAAAAGCTTCATTATTATTGTAGCCCTTTCAAGTTAAAGCAAGTTTTGTTTTTTTTTTAACACATTTTTTTCATTTTGACTTCACATATACAAGTGATTAGATGAATAGCTGAAAAACATGGAAAAATGACTCTTTTTTCGTGCATATGTGCATTGGATAGATGTGCAGATCTGTGCATGGATGCATATGCAATTATTATTTATTTTTATTTATTTTCATTTTTCGGCGATTCATCTAGACACAGCCATAGTGTTTGTTTGGTGTCGTTTTCGTTTTTGGAAAATAAACCATCAAGACAAATTAAAGTTCTCAAGTTCTTGGGGGTTATTAAGTTTTCATTTGATTTTAACTCGTATATTATATACACCTGATAATAGCTAAAAATATATAATGTAGATATATGAATTATTCAGTTTACTCTCTTTTTCTATAATTACAAAATCATTAGTACTAGAGTGAATTACATCTTTCGTCCCTAAGTATAGCTAATTTTTGTAAATTTGGTCCCAAAAAGTTCTCTTGCAATTTTGGTCATGATTTGAGGTGCTTGTAATGTTTTTGGTCTCTACACATGAAATAAGGACCAAAATTGTAAAAATCACATATACTTAAGGATCATAATTGTAATTTACTTTATATACCATCTAGTTATTCTAATTCTATTTCAAATATAACGATTCACATTAAATAAATAGAAAATTAAAACTGGTTGGACCCATCGACCACTAAGACGAGGAAAAGGTTTTCTTATGGTGAAGATGCAAAGATTCAATTTTAGGTTTTTAAGTTGGAATTGAGATGTCACAAAAAAAAAAAAAAAAAAAAAAAAAAAAAAAAAGCTGTAGAATTGTGAGTAATCTTAATACTCGAAAAATGAATGAACTGACTTGTATCTTCTGCCAGAGGGGATAAAGAGAAGCAAGATCCTTTCCCAAAACTGGTTTCCAGGAAGACTATCAATGGCCATGTAAGAAAAATAGCCCCAAAGAACTGAAGTTGGTATTAATTTTATAAGTGGCATTGCGCAAATAGATCCTGCTAAAAGAAGCGACTGCAGTAGATTGCTGACCCTTTGCTCATTAACTCTCACAGGTAAGTGTGCATCGATGTGCTCCTCAGGATCAAACTTCACATTTGTGTTTTCTTCTCCATCTTCTACTTTCATCACTGCTTCTTGCAACTCCTTTAGTTCTTTAACTATCGTAGTTGTCTGTAATGTAAGAAAAAACAAGTTACAAAAGTATACTTTGAAAATGTGTTGCTATTTCTTGTGTTCAACACTTGAGATATTGAAGATTTACAATTGGAGAGCTATCGATTTCTATGAAAACGGTTTGCATCTTGTTGTAGATCTCTGAATTGCTAGCTTTCTGCTTTATGCTTTCCTTAGCACTCGCTACCAACTTCTTTCTAATAAACTGGTAGAACAAAACAATTACATTATCAGAAGAAATAAATCAAATTAATGATACATATCTAATTCTATTATTATTATTTTTTTGTGTGTGGAGTTGCCTGTTTTTTGAGAACCGCTAGGCTTTTAGTGTGCATGGGTGATTGAGGCAATACACCGTTCGAAGGAGGTAGTCCTAATAGTCCACAAAGCAACGTCTGAAAACAACATTTAATAATTAAAAAATTATGTGTCTGATTGTTAACATGTTAATTATACAGCAAAATAAATAAATAAAACATGGGTACCATGAATCCAAGCAAAAGAATGTCGTGATGATAAGCTGAAGGATTCTTGAGGTTGAATTCTTTCTGTTGAGCTAACTGTGAAGCAACACTATGATTAAAGAAATAAAGGCCAGCTATCATAAGAGATGGGATGAAGGCTGCAAAGATGTATACAGGAGGAACTTTACCCATATCCTGCAGTTAAATTCAAGGGAAGAATTAAGATCTAATTATGAAGTTTTTTTTTTATATAAAATGTCTACAGATATTTACCTTGATAACAGTCCAATGGTATGTTGATTCAGATTCCCATAAGAGTGGACTAAAGAGTCTTCTTGGAACTCCAGAAGGGAGTTTGCCAGGTACACTGAAAGAGACAGCTGTCCACACTATAATCATCAATGGGACTCCATAGTCTGCTATGAAGCTTCTAAGTCGGCCTATATATTAAGATAATACTTGTTACATGTTAGAATAATAAGACAAATTTGGAAAAAAGTTTAAAATCTACTCCATTCACCTGTCCCAAACCACCATAATCTTGCTTTCCTGCTTTTTAATGTCGTGTATAAAAGCCCAAATGAGAATACAATTGCCAACATACCATTGGTGTAAAGCCATTGAAATTGATACTTCACTTTATTTGCGTCCTCATTTTTAGGCACCTTGAACTCACTCACGAGTCCCTAAACCAACAAAAGTTATAAAACATGAAACAACATTAACAAATTATTAGCGACTTTAGTTAATTACCTTGATTGCCTCTTGAAGAAAAGAACAGAAATTAACATCCCAAAAGTTTCTCCAGCGATCCTTGCACCTTCAGGCGTATTTGAACTCAAACCGAGGATTTGAGAAATTTTCAAACAAAACTAAAATTTTCTAAAAAGAAAAAGAGGTTTTGGAACGAAGCAGAGTGGAAGGTGTGTACGGTCAGCCAGCGCCCGAACAATGAATCCCCAAAATACCCTTACAATTATATGTTATGAGTTATGAGATATTATGTTGTGCATGCTAGAGAGGCTAAGTATTCCTATTAGGACTAGAGTGGCCTGATTTGTGATGCTTTAGCCTAGGAGATTGATGCTGCTATAAGATACTTTGAGAGTGAGTAGGTAGCAATGAGGAGCTCGTGAGAGGTCTACTGAGGGTAGCCAATGCATAGCGAGAGTAGATTATTTACGACTTGGGATCCTAGGAGGAGGACTTGGGTTGTATATTGATTCGGTGTGGACGATAGTATTGGGCCCGTACTATTGAAGACACCGGATTGGTGCGCAGTCCAAGTAAGAATCCTTGGGGTACCAGAAGTTGAGGATGATTAATTTGTCGAGTGTGAGTATGCTTGAAAGTGTCCCTAATAGTTCTTATGTTGTATTTCAGAGATTGATCAAGGTCAGGACACGCCATACCATCGAGGGCAGTAGGGTGAGTGATGAGGAGATCCGTCAGATCATCCATGAGGAGGTGGCTGCTGCCATCAGAGCCGAGATTCCGGAGATGTTTGGGTCTATCAAGACCACACTGATCGAGACGTTTGATGAGCGTTACGCTGCTTTGAATGATGCTGTTGTTGCTGCTGCGAGACCCCAGGGTGGTGATTCGTTGCTGTATCGAGAGTTCAGCAACACGAAACCACCAGAGTTCGATGGTACACAGGATCCGATCGCCGCCATGAGGGTGATCTCAGACATAGAAGGGTGTTTCTATACGTGCTCGTGTCCAGAGCACTTAAGGGTGCGGTTTGCACTCAACCATCTTCTCTTGGGGGCGAAGGACTGGTGGAAGTTTGTGACCGCGAGCTATTCGACAGCTGAGCTGACAGTAGTGACCTGGGAGAGGTTTACTGTAATGTTTCGTGACGATTATGTTCCCCAGGTGGAGAGGGAATGCTTAGCCCAGGAGTTTCTGACCCTCAAGCAGGGGACTGAGTTGGTGATAGTGATTACGAGGATGTTTCATGAGCGGGCATTGTTTTGCCTAGAGCAGGTGTCCACTGAGCAGGCTCGCATGAGCCGATATCTGAGTATACTGAGAAGGGACATTCGTGAGTTCGTAGCGAACTCGACTTACCGGACATTTGCCAAGCTCCAGGAAAATGCCCGGAAGAGGGAGATTGAGCTTGAGACGCAGGCAAGGGAGGAAGCCGAGTCTCAGAGGGGTGATCGGCGACCGGCACAGTCGCAGCCAGCCGCCAAGTGGGCAAAGCCCGCTGATTTGAGGACGAGTAGTTCCAGGGGTCGTACTTGTGGGAAGTGCGGCAAGAGCCATGATGGGTCATGAAAGTCTGGGGTATGCTACAAGTGTGGGAAGGAAGGGAATTTCGCGAGGGATTGTCCTAAGAGGTTCTCGGTTTGCTTCCATTACAACCAAACCGGCCATCGGAAGGCCGAGTGCCACCAGCTTCAGAGGACAGTGCAGGGATCCGTACCTGCAGTTCGAGCTACTGAGACCCGGCCAGCAAAGGCCGAAACACCGAATGCTAGCGGGAGAGCCTTTCAGTTGACAGCGGAAGAGGTCCGCGCAGCACCTGACATCGTGGCAGGTACATATTCTTTATTTATTTATGTTGAGTTTATATTGTGATGATTATATGTTATGCGTATGTACTTTTCTTGTGAATTTTGTACCTGCATTAGTGTTGTTTGACTCGGGTGCGAGTCGGTCGTTCGTATCTGTGACTTTTAGTCGGCACATTAGTATTCTGAGGGAGGCGTTGAGTCGACCTCTGCAGGTTTCCATAGCCGATGAGCGTGAGGTATGTGCTACCTAGGTGATACGTGGATGCGTACTGGAGATCTTCGGAGTGGAATTTCCGATTGATTTGATACCGATTGCCATGAGGGATGTTTGTGTTATAGTGGGCATGGATTGGTTGAGCCGTTTCAGGGTTGTCATAGATTGCGAGCGTCAGTTGGTGATGATCCGAGATCCTAGTGGGGGAGTGCTGACAGTTTATGGCGAGGGGACTCGTGGTGGTTCGGTATTCTGTTCGGCTGCCATAGCGAGGCGGAGCTTGCAGCAGGGCTGCAAGGGATTCGTGGCCTATGTGACGGATGTACGAGAGGCTGTTGGGAGGCCAAGTTCAGTGGATGATGTGCCGATAGTGCGTGAGTTCCGGGATGTGTTCCCCGAGGAGTTGTCGGGCGTACCTCCCGAGAGGCAAGTGGAGTTTCGTATCGATTTGATTCCCGGGGTCGCGCCTATCGCTAAGGCGCCATATCGCCTAGCGCCGCCAGAGATGCAGGAGTTATCCTCACAGCTGCAGGAGCTCTTGGGGAAAGGTTTCATCCGTCCTAGTAGCTCTCCCTGGGGAGCGTCGATCCTTTTTGTCAACAACAAGGATGGTTCACACCGAATGTGCATTGATTACCGGGAGCTGAACAAGTTGACGGTCAAGAACCGTTATCCACTACCGAGGATCGATGATCTATTCGATTAGTTGCAGGGGCATCTTTGTTCTCCAAGATAGACCTAAGGTTGGGATATCACCAGATGAGAGTTCGGGATGAGGATATCTAGAAGACGACATTTAGGACTCGTTACGGGCATTACGAGTTCGTGGTGATGCCATTCGGGCTCACCAATGCACCCGCGACATTCATGGACCTCATGAACAGGGTGTGTAGGCCGATGTTGGATTAATCGATAATTCTATTCATTGATGACATCTTGGTGTATTCGAGGACCATAGATCAGCACGAGGAGCATTTGAGAGAGCTCCTCGGAGTTCTGAGATCGGAGATGCTATTCGCTAAATTCTCCAAGTGTGATTTTTGGTTACGGGAGGTCCAGTTCTTAGGGCATCTCGTTAACTAGAATGGGATTTTGGTTGACCCGGCCAAGATCGAGGCTGTGATGAGTTGGGAGGTGCCGGGGTCACCTACGGAGATCCGGAGCTTCTTAGGGCTGGCAGGCTACTATCGGATATTTATCAGGGACTTCTCCAAAATTGTTGTGCCACTTACCAAGTTAACCCGGAAGGGTGTTACTTTCTCATGGGGTCCGGAGCAGCAGACCTCATTTGAGACCCTTCACCAGAGATTGTGCGAAGCTCCCGTGTTTGCATTACCAGAAGGGATGGAGGATTTCGTGGTGTACTGTGATGCATCGATATCGGGTTGGGGCGGTGTTGATGCAGAGAGGGCATGTGATCGCGTATGCGTCGAGGCAATTAAAGCCTCATGAGACGAGATATCCCACCCATGATTTGGATTTGGGGGATGTGGTTTTTGCCTTCAAGATATGGTGTCACTATCTGTATGGGGTTCAGTGTACGATATATACGGACCACAACAGCTTGAAGTACTTGATGGATCAGCCAAATCTAAATATGCATCAGAGGAGATGGCTGGATGTGGTAAAGGATTATGATTGCGAGATCCTGTACCACCCAGGCAAGGCTAATGTGGTAGCCGACGCCCTGAATCGTAGGGCACAGGGTGCCCTGATGCGAGATATCTGTTTGAGCTTGACGGTGATGACCCCAATTTTGGACACCATCCGAGGGGCTCAGGCTGAGGCTGCGAGATCAAAAAAATCAGAAGAGGGAGCGGGTTGTCGGTCAGGTATCAGAATTCGTTACGGATGGTCAGGGACTTATGACTTTTCAGGGTCGGATTTGGGTACCGTTTGTGGGCGGTGCGCATACTATCTTGATGGAGGAAGCGTATCGATCGAAATTTTCGATTCATCCCGGGGCTACTAAGATGTATTTGGACCTAAGGAAAGAGTATTGGTGGCCCTGTATGAAGAGGATGTTGCATGGTTTGTCGAGAGGTGCCTCACTTGTCGTCATGTTAAGGACGAGCACCAGCATCCACACGGCAAATTGCAGCTGTTGGAGATTCCCGAATGGAAGTGGGAACAGATTACCATGGACTTTATCACCAAATTGCCACGAACTACGAGGGGAGTTGATGCGATTTGGGTGATCGTGGATAGACTGACGAAGAGCGCTCATTTTCTATCCATCAGCGAAAGCTCTTCTGCGGAGAAGTTGGCGGAATTATATGTGAGAGAGGTGGTATCGTGGCATGGGGTTCCGATGTCGATGGTTTCAGATCGGGATGTGCGTTTCACTTCCAGGTTTTGGAAGAAGTTTCATGAGGAGTTGGGTACGAGACTGCATTTCAGTACCGCATACCACCCGCAGACGGACGGACAGAGCGAGCGGACAACTCAGACGCTTGAGGATATGCTCCGAGCATGTGTTTTGGATTTTAGAGGGAGCTGGGACACCTATCTACCTTTAGCAGAGTTTTCGTACAACAACAACCATCATTCGAGCATTAGTATGCCACCCTTTGAGTTGTTGTATGGGCGAAGGTGTCGCACCCCCATCTGTTGGGGAAAGGTGGGGCAGCGGGTGATGGGTAGCACGGAGATTGTAGTCCAGACGACCAAGCAGATTCAGCAGGTCAGGCAGAGGTTGTTGACCGCGCAGAGTCGCCAGAAGAGTTATGCGGACAGGCGTCGGTCCGAGGCTCGAGTTTCAGGTTGGTGACCTTGCGCTCCTAAAGGTCTCTCCTTGGAAAGGAGTGATACGATTCAGGAAGAGGGGCAAGTTGGGACCCCGGTATATTGGACCCTTCAGGGTAATTGCTAGGGTAGGCAGGGTACCCTACGGTTGGATCTACCTGCTGAGTTGGGGCAGATCCATGATACCTTTCATGTCTCGCAGTTGAGGAAATGTATTGCCGATGAGTCGGCAGTGGTGTGTTAGAGGACATTCAGGTGGATGCGAGCCTGAACTACGTGGAGAGACCAGTTGCGATTGTGGATCGGAAGATCAAGGTTCTAAGGAACAAGGAAGTGCCTCGGGTACAGGTTCAGTGGCAGCATCGGAAGGGATCCGAGTTGACCTGGGAACCGGAGCGGGAGATGCGGGAGCAACATCCAGAGTTATTTCAGGAATGAGACTCCGAGGGCGAAGTCGGATTCTAGTGGGGGAGAATTGTAACATCTGGGATTTCAGCTATATTAATTATTCTTTTTATTCTGAGTTTTGTGGAAGGACTCGGCGAGTTGGTGCATAGACTCGCCGAGTTGAGACGCGATTTTTCACCCGGATTGATGCCCGGACTGGGCAAGTCGCCTTGGTGGACTCGACGGTCTGCGTTGTTTATTGAAACCCTAATTTCTCGGGTTTGAGGCCTATTTAAAGGGCCTTATGGCCGTCATTTGCGCTCATCAGTCCCCAGAGTGAGATCCTAGAGCATTTGAGTGATTCAAGTGAGGGAAGGAGCCATTGTTGATCTTGGAGTTATTGTCTAGCAAGGGAAGAGGGAGATCTAGCCAAGAGGAAGCAAGAGAGGGGTGGATTCTTGAAGAATTGAGGTCCAGGACATCACAACTAAGGTACCATTTCGAATTCTTCTTTGTTATTGTGATGTTCATATAGATTTAGGGCTTTTGAACCCTATTTGTGGCTAGATCTAGTATCCTCATGGTCCCTTGGAGAGTTATGGCTCTGAATCTGGACCCATAGAGGTCCAGAGCACCTCTTTGCCCAAGCTTTATATGCATCCATGGAGGTTTTGGGTTGGGATCAATGTATTTGAGGCTAAAACACCATAAATGAGCTATTTGATGCTTAATGAGCACCAAGACTTGGACTTTACGTGGTCAATAAGCTTAAGGTGACTGGATCTATGAGTTAGTAGAGTGGATCTGACCTCAGAAGGTCGTTTGGGGTTGTGCATGGAATGCACTCGCCGAGTCCACTCCCAGACTCGGCGAGTTGGTGCGGTTTGTTCAATGATTACGAACCAAGGGCTGAGTAACCGAGTCGGGTGAGTGACTCGGTGAATTGGAAGTGATTCAGAGGGATCGGGTTCCCGTAGGGACTCGGCGAGTCCACGCCAGACTCGGCGAGTCGGGTAAACCGTTGACCGTTGACCGTTGACCAGAGTTCACTAGTTTGACTTTGTAGTGTTAGTCAGCCAGGGTCAATGTGGTATTAAGTAGAGA